TTTTCTAAGCCTTTCAGCTGCCCCCACTCAGATTCACCCTTGGCCGTGTCGGCAGGGCACACAAATGTCCATCAAATGATGACTGGATAGATAAAATGTTATATCCATGCAATGGAATTATTTTCAGCAATGAAAGGGAATGAAATACTGGTAACAACATCGATGAACCATGAAATTATAAACATTGTTAAGTGAAAGAAGCCAGACACAAAAGACCACGTATTGTATGATTCCATTTCTATAAAATATCCAGAACAGCAAATCTACAGAGACAGAAAGTAAATTAGTGGTTGCTTAGGACTGGGTGGTGTGTGGGTGCTGCTATTGAGGATCAATTGGATGGATGTCTGCTAAAGGATGAAGTATATGGTATATGAATTATATGTCAACAATAAAAACATTATAAAAATATTAATGGAATAGTGGGCAAACCATCATTGGAGAGTTGAAAATAATTTTTTTTAAAGAAAGTCCTCAAGATTAATATATGGATCCTATGTCCTATGTCCTGTGCTTAACTAGCTTATAGATTTTAATTTCGTTAACACTTGCCTTTAAAACTATGAGGATGAAGTAAGGTAATCATGTGTTTAGCATAATGTATGATGCATACAAAGTGCTCAATAAATGGTGACTATTACCAATACATAGTTTTCAAAAATGATGAGAGTATATTCTAGAGTGAATATCTTTAAATGTCCAAAATGAAAATAAGAATAATTTTAAATTATGTGTGGAATTCTACAATGAAAATATTCTCTATATTATCAGTTTGTACAGAATTGTACAGTTGAAACGTATATAATTTTATTAATATATAAAATAGCTAGGTGTTGATGTATCCATTTCAAAGAAATATACATGAAATGTTACAATCATCAGAGCCCCATGTTATCTGAGTGAGCACAAAACCTGGATTATCTCTTCCGTAAAATTTAGATTTACACCCCCCCCCCCCCACTTAAATGGAAGTTAGAGTTCCAGTTACCTCAAATCCAGTTGCAAACAAAAACAAGTGTAAAAACGCTTGAAAGCAATGGAGCTGTTTGTGAGTCTCTCATAGTCCTTATTATAATAAACTAGAGGTCTGGTGCATGAATTCGTGCACGGGTGGGGTCCTTTGGCCTGGCTAGCGATAGGGGCTGATGGGGGCCACAGGAGGTAGGCCAGCCAGCCAGATCAGGGCCATTGGGGCAGACAGACCAGGGGTAGGGGCGCATGAGGTTGGCTGTGGGAGTGCATTAACCACTGAAAGAAGGTCCTGTGTTAAGCATCTGCTCCCTGGTGGTCACTGAACATCATAGCAACAGGTTGACCAGTTGTTCCGTAGCATAGGCTTTTATATATATATAGGTTCAGGTCTATGAGTTCCCAGCCCATAAATTAGAATGTGATCATTGGAAAGGAAAAAAAAGGGGGTGATTTGTTAAAAGTAGGTAAACACTGACACCAGAAAAAAACAAAACAATTAGAACGATGACAGACTAATAGGGAGAATACATAAAAGGCGTTCAAAGCAGAGGCTACCTAGAATAAAACTCAAATCTTGGCTCATCTGTTCTACAGGCAAGCAGAGACAAACACTAAATTACAACACTGTACAACCTGCAGTGATAAACCTGAGCCACTTTAAAAAGAGTTTATTTCACCACCATTTATTAAAGAAGGAAGAGAAATATTAGGGCTAATTCCTAATATCTGCATGAAGGAGCTCACACATTTTAAAAAATGGGGTTAAACAGAGGGAGTACAGGCTGGTGCACAAGGGTGCATTTAGCTAAGAAGAAAAAAAAAAGGGATTAGGAAAAGGTGACAATATAAAGACTTCTGCAGAGTGTTAATGTCAGCGCTGACTTCTGAAAAGACTGCAAGAGGGCAGGCAGGCATTGTACACAGATAGATGGTGGCATTTGTGAGGGCCCATCGAGTTGACTCCAGGATACTACTTTAGGTAGTTCAGAATCTCTGGCATAAAACACAAAAGGTTGGGTGGGGCATAAAAATGCAATCTACTCCCAATTGCTGTGGCAGCCTCTGAGATATCACAGACATATGGTGAAAACCACTGCAAGACGACCTGTGAACAAACATTTCTATTAAAATCAGAACCATCTTTGGGCAAGTTAAGTGTATCATTCATTTCTTCTAACAATGTATAGACAAGATATCTTCGTATTTTTGTTTGTTGAGATTATTTTGCAGACCTGCTCCATTAATTGAAGTTTATATTGGGGGTGGAGAGGGAGTAGTTAACCAAACATTACTCCAGAGAAATTCAAAGCTTATGACAGGTGGCAACTATTCGATTTCTCCTAGTTAGCAGAAAATGTTCCAGTCAAAGTCTCAACCATAATTGGCCTGAGTTCTGAGCAGGGAATACAGAAGGATCATAGAAATCCTGATCAAAAGTATGAGGAAGTTGGCAAAGATGTACTCTTTAAAAACCTAGCATTCTGAACTCCATCCCATCAATATTAATGAGAAAAAGAATAGAGGAATTAGGACTACTACAAGATCCTTTTCCAGAATCAAAGGAGATGATGTCCAGAAACACCTTTTCCAACTTAAATCGTGTTATACAGGTATTAATTACGAGGATGCTATGATTAAGTAAAATAGTAACCTGTTTCTATCATTGAAGCACAATGCCTTGAATAAAACGTCCCATAGACTGGAGATTATTGGTAATCATTTTAATGTTAATGTTTTATAAAATAATGGGCATTTAGCTGTTGCACTGGCAGGTGGCTATATTGAGCCCATTGCATATCACTTATATAATTCAACTAGAGGCCTGATGCATGAAACACGTGCAAAAGTAGGCCTTCCTCCCCCTCTCCCCTGCTTCCCTCCCTCCCACCCGCCCGGCTGCTGGCACAGGCTTCCCTCTGGCACCCAGAACCCAGGCTTCCCTTATAGCCCCGGCTTCGTCTGGAAGGTCATCCAGTCTAATTAGCATATTATGTTTTTATTATATTATAGGTATTCATATGGCACTGGAATGTGTTCTGCAACAAAAGACAAAAATAAGACAGGATCCCTGCACAGAAGGCATACAGGGGATAAAACTATAGGAACAGAAAATTTAATCTTTAAAAAATTTGTTTCCATGAAAAATTCCCAAGTCTTTGGTGATAATCAATGAAATGCCTTAATGAAGCAGGTTTGGGAAATGGGTATTAAAGGGAAGGTGCTCATGGGTTGTAAGAAAAGATTAATTTGTTTCTGGGACATGATGACTAAATGATTCTTGACGGATGGCAGGAAGACGCTTCCCTGGGTGTCAGAATATTCTGGGCGGGAACAAAGAAGCTGGGAAGTTTCAGAACAAGATGATAGCTTCTGCCCTTGAACTGATTTCATTTATTTTAAAAACTCAGTTAACATCGACGAGAATGTAGGCCTTTTCGGTTTCTAAAATGGAGAATGCTTTAAAAACAGAGATGAGAGATATCAAGATGAAGATCAAGAAAAATGAACAGTGCAATGCAGTACTAGGAAAAATTAGGAAAACAACAGAAATAAGGGGAAGAGTCAAAGGTAAAGACCACAAAACAATGGAAGAATTAATAAGACATCAAGGTTAATTAGGAAGGGCAGGTGAGTGGAAGGCTTAATATGAAATTTGTCTTGAGAGAAATTATTAAAAAATTTAATGGTGTAATACAAAGGTCCCACTGAAGCAAAAGATACATTTTAAATGATTTTGATTTAAAAAGGGAAATATACTGTAAAATATTTATTTAATAAAAATAATTTTATAAGCTATACAGAATTGAATAAAAAGTACAACAAATTATTTCCACTTGCAAACAGCATACATACAGTACAACTTGCAAATAGTGTTCAGCATTCTGCAAATATGGCCACCCACCAACACATGAACCTGTTACTGTCATTTTAATAAGTAAAGGCTCCAGTTGTGTGCCACAGACTTCAAATTAAATTCCAGGGAGATGATGCTTTGGTAATGTGAACACTTTGATTATATAACAGTCCATTTTATTTAAAAGGATTAAATAAAATCCCTCAAGTACCACTCTTCTTTTGTTTCTACGTAAACAATTCCCTATATAGCAAAATAAAATAAAAGATAAGAGATAAAATTCCAGGCTGTTACTTTAAGACATCCCGTCCCCTTCCCTTCCATAGTTAGTATTCTTTTCCTTTTTCTATATCCAAAAAGATGTTGAATGGAAAATGACCTATTCTTATTCTATTCATTTACTTTTAGAGTTCCTGCTTAAACCAAATATATGTCAATTTTGCAATCTTGACACTATTATTCACAGTTTAGCTGTGTCACTCGAAAAATATTAACACCCCAGATGAAAGCTGACGAGGTTCTTTTCAAGATAAGGCAACAAAGTTGGCTCTAAAGTCCTCTTCACATCTCATATTCTAGCAGCCACTCAGTAGGCTGGCAGACTTGTTAATGTATAAATGTATACAGAATATTTTTTCAAGTACCTTGGAACTGGAATCACTAGCAGTTGTTATTTTAAGCAAATAGTAAAGATGATCCACCTTTAGAGCAAAGGTAGATTTAATGTACAAAATGCAGGAATCATCTCTATCTTGGTTCCTGTCCCATTGAAATAAAAAAGGCTCAGTTTGTGAAAAAGGCCTTGGAATAATCCAACTCCTAATGACAACCATATCTTGGATATGAAGGACAAATATAAAAGTTATAAATGGAGATGAGAAGTTATTTTAAAAAACTTTTTTATTTTAGTTTGGAAATAAAAGGGAATGCAGAGACAGAGTGGGCTAGTCGTGTCTTTAGCCCAAATTTTAGCTTTTCATCATGAGAATATACAGGGTGGGGCACAATTAGGTTTACATAAACACCCTGTATATTCAGTCCTTCCTGTGGAGGAATAAAAGACGAGGAAATCTACCAACACTTTCTGATTAGGTCTCTTCGCTCAGCTTACTAGCAGGCTTCAAAATGTGCCTTATTTTCTAACGGAATGAGCTTCTCTGGGAAGCATAGAATGATGCAAACATGTATTTCAAACAAAAATCTACACAAATACATAACTGGCAAGATGGGAACTGAGAACATTCATACAATGAATTCTTAAACATAACTTATTAGAAATAACACATACTCCTTAAAGGGCAGGACACCAAACCAGGGCAAATACTGCCTGTGATAGGAACAACTTCCATCTGTAGAAAGCAAGTGCACATGAGTAACACAAAATAAGAATTAAGTTGTACAGAGACAGGTGCTGTTACAACATATTCCTATCTTGACCTGTAACATCTGTGGCCCCTGTGAGACCCTGGTCTCAAGCTTCTGTCTAATCAGATGTAGAAGTGCTTGACCTATGAGACACCAAGCTCACTTGCCATCAAGTATACAACACCATGTGCTGCTTGACTGCTCGCCTTGACTTGGTGTTCAAAATCCAGTTCACTTCTGAATCAGAAAAAAGTCATCCTTAAATAAACAAAATTTCCTTCTGTTCCTCTGAACACGATTATGTTACGCTGGGAACACAGGTATAGTCAATTGGCTGCTTTGAAGCCATGAAATGCACATTCATAAATATATGTTCTACACCTTAAAAAATTAAATACATCCAGGGACTGTGGCTGTGCGGAGTTCTTGCTATAAATAGCTTGTCAGTAGTGAATTATGAAGTGGTTACTTGAGAACTTGACTCTGGATCTTCCTGCTTTGTATATTTCTTCATAATAGTGACTATACCATTAGCCAGGAAAACCACAGCGATGAGTGCAAAATAACCTGCGTAGATCAGGAACTGAAGGGGGAAACAAGTCATGTACAGAATTTTTAATAAGGAGAGCTGTTGTATTACACATATGAAAACATACTCTACAATTAAAATGAATTCAGTTTATCAATAGAACTTTAAAAAGGAGTGTGCTTGCCCAATGTGCGAGGCACTGAAAACACAGAGGCAGCAGAGTGCGGTGGTACAGAAGCCTGATGCTTCCGTGTGAATCCTGTTGACACCCTTGACTAGCTGTGTGACCTTGACCGAGATACCTATTCTCTGAATCTTAACTTCATTTACAAAATGGAATTCTTATTTCCTACTTCACAGGGTTGTTGGGAAGGAGGAGATCATGTATGTCAATGTTTATTAGCACCATGCCGATGCTGTTAATACTACTGTTGGTATTTCTGTTGCTGTCATTGAGTCATGGTCTCTAGCCTCAAGCTGGTGGACTGGTACCTGGGTATGACTAACAGGCCAAGCTCTGAAGATCAAGAACTTTGATTCTTCCCCAGAAGAGGGCAGTAGAAGGTCAACTACAGATTGGGGCAAATTGGGTTTGTATGGAAAATAATACAATAATGAATATATAATAATAATAATAATGAATAAACTGTGTTTATGTAAACTAATTTTGCCCCACCCTGTATATTCCATTATAGGATTACATTTTACATGGATCCTCTCTAAGCCAACTTTTTAATGTGGCTATATAGTTTAGCTACATAGTCATCACCATATTCTTAAAATATCTTACTAAATAGACATAAGCTGGTTCATGGGTTCAAGAAGAGAGTAGCCCTAAGTTCTGAACTAGGTTTTTAAAAGATGGGACACGTTTTCCTACAGGAATCTGTTAATCACGGCAGCTAGAGGTCCAGCACTGCCCACACATTCCCATTACCCCGTATGTCTAAACCCCTAATTTTATAGCAGGATAGCAGGTTCTAGTTTCTGTCCTACCCTCAATCCTTAATGAAGCACCTAACTCTTGCATGGTCTCGAGGTTTTTACTGCCAGTAGTAACGGGGAAACAGAAAGTAATAAGCTCCCCTCCTCTGCTCCCTGCTCCACCTTCTGGGGGCAGCGAACGCAGAGTGAGACAAGCAGGCTTCAGAGTAGATTCTGGTTGAGATCCTAGCTCTGCACCACTATTGTTGACTCAGTGCCCTTACCACTTAACATTACTTAACTTTCAGATTATCTTCTCCATTCTAAACCTGACAACTCTACAAAATCCTATATAAAGTACCTGGGACGTAGAAAGCGCTCAGTGCACATTACCTATTATTATGATTTCTCTTTTAGAGCTCATCAGTGAAAATACAGTTAAAATTACTGCTGACATGTTGGGTCTTTCTATTTAACAAAACTAATGTGGAAGTATGAAGGGAATGACAGAGAAGCAATTTTCTGGCCTGGGATGGGGCACGTTTTGATTTAATTGCTTGTTTTGCAGAAATATAGAGCAAACCCTACCTACAGGCTCACAGTGCATGAAGGCATGTGCAATCATATGATCCCTTGATGAAGAAATGTGTTCATTTCTTGGGTGTTTGTACAGGTGTTTTCTCAATAGGTCGTGTGTTAAGAATCAGAATGCTACTCATCAACAGCAAATCATTACCCTGGTATCTGGGGGAGGAGGATTAAATAAAGAAAGGAGGAGACTCAGCTGCGAGATAAGGCAGGTTGCCCCCAACATGCTCCAGATAGCAAAGTACAGAAGGGGGAGGACTGATAGGAGGGGGCACCATTACTTTTTATGTGATATCAGTCTATACTGTTTGAATTTCTTCATTAGGCATCTTCCCCTGAGTCACCCTGATCAAGGTGTAATTTCTTCAGTGCAAAACAGCTCTTACCTGAGTGGTAATTTCTAAGCCAAGGCCACTGGCATCGACTACAATGAGCGTGAGCAGCGTCTGCAGGGCCAGAGCAATGAAGGTGTTGACACCAAACACTAGGGCATAACGCTCCATGCTGAGGTTTGCTGCAATCTGAAAACTTAACAAAGAACAACAAATAGATAAGATTTCTTCCTGGGTAGTTAAAATTTTAATTTAAATGGAAAGGGTAACCCCTTCTTTCTACTGTCAATCACCTTCCCAACCAAGTGAAAAGTATTTTGTTGCTAAATGATGCCAATCTCATGCAAAATCTGGAAACAGCAGGAACACGTGAACGAGGAATTAAATGAACCCTGCCTAAATGCTTCCTCAGGAGAAAACAAACAATAGAGTGCTCTCTCCCATTTGCCTCTTTTAACTAGGAAATTTAATTTCTTTGTAAAGAAACCATAAGTTTTATCCAATCACAACTTTTCCTAATGCTTCTTTGAATAAAATACATACGTTGCTATAGTGATGAGTAACATGTAGATGATTCTGAAGACAACATAGGACGCGTAGCACACCCAAATGTTACCCACGGTGTCCATGATGTACACTGCGGCCGCAATCAGGAGAGAACACAGAGACAGTGTCATTTCTCCCCAAGTGGACCAGGAAATTTTTATGTAACCAACTGCAAAAACAGCAACAGCACCTGCAGAATGAAAAGAGCAATAAATAAAGACTACTTAAAAAAATTTAAATCAGCTTAGGTTATTCCATTTTAAAGCTGTGAACTTATATAGAGGGTGCTCACGACTAGGGAGTGCCTTGGAAGAAAGGCAGAGAATTGACTTGATGGAATAAATGCTATAGAGCCGGTGTGAGGATGAGAGACTGAACCAAAGCAGTTGGCATTGAGATGGGAAAGGAGGCCACAGATCCAGGAAGGCTGCTGAAGAAATGCAGCTAAGGCAGAGGCCATGTCCAAAAGAACCACTGCTCCTATTGGGTCGGCAAGTAAGTAATTGCGGATTTTTTAAAGAAAATCAAAGACAATTTTTTCATGGAACTAAATAACTTTATTCTGTAATGTATTGCCCATTTTGATCAATGACCTTTTGCCATCTTTCAGGCAGCATCATAATCCCACGTTCAAAAAACTTCTGGTTTTTATTAGCAAAAAACTGAATCAGGTACGATTTGACATCATCATCATTATTGAAATTTTTACCATTCAAGGAGTTTTGTAAAGATCGAAACAAAAAGTAATCAGATGGTGCAAGGTCAGGACTATATGGTGGATGTGGCAAAACATCCCAACCAAGCTCCATTAATTTTTGCCGAGTGACCAAAGATGTGTGTGGCCTTGCATTGTCATGATGGAATACAACACCTTTTCGATTTGTCAATTTGGGCCGCTTTTCTTCAACTGCATTGTTTAATTTCATTAGTTGTTCAATGTAGACATCAGAATTGATCGTTCGGTTGGGTGGTAAGAGTTCAAAGTAGACAATTCCTTTGTAATCCCACCAAACTGATAACAAAACCTTCTTTTGATGAATATCAGCTTTTGATGTTGTTTGAGTTGGTTCACCTGGCTTGCTCCACGATCTTTTCCGCTTGATATTGTTGTAAACAACCCATTTTTCATCGCCAGTTATCAGTCGTTTTAAAAATGGATCATTTTCATTACGTTTCTTTAGCAAATCGCAGCTGCTAATGTGTTGCGTTAACTGTGATTCTTTCAGTTCGTGAGGAACCCATGTATCGAGTTTTTGAACATAGCCAAGTTGTTTTAAGTGATTTTCAATGCATGTATGTGATACATGAAGCTTCTCTGCAATCTCACGTGTTGTACTGTGACAGTCTGAATTGATTATTGCTTTGATTAGGGCGTCATCAACTTCAACTGGACAACCAGAGCGTTTTTCATCTTTGAGTGAAAAATCACCAGAACGAAATTTGGCAAACCAATTTTGACACTGCCGTTCTTTTAAGGCTTCGTCACCATAAACAGCACATAACTTTTTATGAGCTTGCGATGCGTTTTTCCCTTTGTGGAAATAAAAAATCAAAATATGACGAAAATGTTCCTTTTGATTTTCCATTTTTCAACGAACGCCAAACGAAAACTACAAAACAGATCAAAAAACTTTTTTTACTGATTAACAGCTGAATAGCCAACTATCAAATAACAAAATGTGTTTTACATTTTTACTACGTCTGCAAACCTAAAAATTCAACTGAAGCCATATATGTGTGAAACCCGCAATTACTTACTTGCCGACCCAATAGCTTGGCACCGTGGCAGGACAGGGCCTCTCTCCTCCCCGAGGAGCCATTGAGAACAAGGCAAAAGGGCATCTCTGCCCTTTGGTAAAATGACTACAATGATAATGACAGCTGAAATGTACGGAGTGCTCCTGAGTGCCAGGTGCAGTTGTAAGTGTTTATAGAAATCATGTAGTCTTCCAAAAACCTTATGAGGCACATCAACAAATTAGAAAGGGACAACAAAATAAAGCAGTCAATGACACCGGCTCTGAGTTCAAATCTTAACCTCACTACTTACGATCTATTATATATTACCTTGGGCAAGTTAATAACGTATCTGTCCATGGTTTCAACTGTAAAATAGGATGGCAATTGCAGCTATCCCAGGAGTTTTGTAAGGACTGACTGAATATACATAAGTTATAATATCAGAGCTCAAAATAAGTAAATCATTCTCTGGAGTTAGTTCACGTTTGGGAGAGGAGAGAAAACCTGATTGGTTGACGACTACCAGAGGAATCCCCCTCCTGACCATCACTAAGTCAGCACTGCTCACCCAGCAAGGTGGAAACGGCCTCCACGCCTCCGTTATAGATAGCAGCATGGCGAGAAGGCATCACCTGCTCCCACAAGCCCTGGGTGTAGTTGATCACTTGAAAATAGCCGCAGGTGGAGAGGGCCCACCACACGGACCAGCAGAGCAGAGGCCGGGAGGAGTAGCACATCAGGAAGTCATTCCACAGCACCTTCAGCACAAGGAGCCGGTCCGGCTCCGGCTCCTGCACAACCAAAGGGAAGAAAGCTCAACCATCTGGAAGGCAACTGGACAGGAAGTAACTGAATAGACTCAGTATTTAATGTAACAGGTGTTACTCTTTTCCTCTGCGAAAAATACACAGGGTGGGGCAAAAGTAGGTTCACAGTTGTTCATACCAAAAATAACAATAAATACAAGAATGAGCTCTTGATACATAGTTATAAAATTTTTCTTGTAAGGCGAACTTTTAAGACCTATTTTATTAGCAACTTTCAAATGTGCAATGCTACCATCACCATGTTGCACACTGTATCCCCAGGACTTATTTTATAATTGGAAGTTTTTACCTTTTGATCCCCTTCACCCATTTCTCCTACCGCCCAATCCCAATCTGGTCTTTATATCTATGAGCTTTTGGGTTTTTGGTTGTGTGTGTGTCTGTTTTGTTTTGAGGTTCCAAATATAAGTGAGATCATATGGTATTTGTCTTTCTTTTTGACTTATTTCTCGTAGCATAATGTACTTGAAGTCCATCTATGTTGTTTTTAAATGGCAAGAATTCATTTTTTTTTCTTTAATCCTCACCCAAGGATGTTTTAATGTATTTATTTTTTAGAGAGAGAGAGGAAAGGAGAAGCATTAATGTATGAGAGAAATATCAGTTGGCTGCCTCCCATACCTCCCCCAATCAGGGATCAGACACACAATCAAGGCAGGTGCCCTGACTGGGAATTGAACCCGCAACCTTTTGGTGCATAGGACAAAGCTCCGATCAATTGAGTCACCTGGCCAGGGCAGAATTCATTTTTTATGGCTAATAATTTTTCATTATTATACACATTCTATTTGTTCATCCACTGATGGACACTAGGTTGTTTCCGTATCTTGGCTATTTTAACTAAAGCTACAATGAACATGGGGGTGCAGACACCTTTCTGAGTTAGTGTTTTTGTTTTCTTCAGATAAATACCCAGAAGGAGAGTTGCTGGGTCAAATGGATATTCAGTTTACACTTCTATCAATAGGGACAAAGGGTTTCCTTTTCTCCATATCCTCTCCAACATTTGTTATCTTTCTGAGAACAACCATTCCAACAGGTGTGTGTGGTTTTGATTGCATTTCCCTGCTGATTAGAAGCATCTCTTCATGTATCTGTTAGCCACGTGCATGTCTTCTTTGGAAAAATATCTATTCAGATCTTTTGCCTGTTTTTCAATTAGATTTTTTTTTTTTTTTTTTTTTTTTTTTTTTTTTTTTTACTATTGAGTTGTATGAGTTTTTTATGTATTTTGGATATTAACCCCTTGTCAGATATATAATTTGCAAATATTTTCTCCTATTCAGTAGGTTGCCCTTTCATTTTGTTGACTGTTTCCTTTGCTATGCAAAAGCTTTTTAGTTTGATGTAGATCTACTTATTTTTGCTGTTGTCGCTTTAGCTGTTGGTGTCAGGTTTAAAAAATCATTGCTAAGACCAATGTCATGAAGCTTACTGCCTTTGTTTTCTTCTAAGAGTTTAATGTTTAGGGTCTTACTGTCTCAAATCTTAATCCAATCTGAGTTAATTTTGTGTAGCCTCTTCTTTAAATAGAACCTTGACAGGGCATAATTAAGTCTTTACAAATGGAAGGCCACTCTTTGTTGAGCTCAGTCATGCAAAGGGAAATTTATCTATAGTTAAAACAATGGCTACGATGGAAATTTTTGAGAATAAATTTGACAAACTTATTATTTGTCAAAATATGGTTCTATGAGTCAGAACTGCACTTTATTCTGATTTTCATGGCTAGTTCCTTTATGTTACTTAGGCATCAACTCAGACACTAGAAGCCATTCAGTACTCTTACCAATCATTACTTCTAGATACCACGTCACTTGCTAGCCCATTTTTCCTTTCTATAAAATCAAGATCAAACTACCCACCTACCTACATATTCTTCTTTACCATAATTACTTCAATTATAACTTATGGTTCAGTTATGGGCTATTTGTCAACTTAAAATGACAGTACAATCTCCAACATCCGTATTTTGACTTTCCTTCAAGCTTGTAAAAAAATGCAGTATTTTAGGGCTGTAAGTGCCAAGCAGCACTGCCTGCTGGTAGGGGTGCCAGGAGAAAGCCAAGGACATCATGGTATGGGCTTGAATCCTAATTGTTACCACACTGTAACCAACAGGATGGTTCTGACTGCTGTCACCCCGTGAAAGACTTCATGGAGCACAGTACAGGTTGAAGTGCATCTCACGTATATTCTTCACCTATGTTCAGGAGTATATCTGTGTAATTCTACAGTCCCGATCTCTGATCCTGATCCTCCTCTTTAACATGAGAGGGTTGATGAGATCTAATGTCCCTTGTAACTTTAAGATGCTGTAATTATTCTAAGACTTGTGGTTTGAATCACTTAAGTCTAAAATGTTATAATTATTCAGCATGTCAAGTATTCACATTTTGCCTATCTATAAGTAACAAATATCAAGTTGTTCTATGACTGTAGATTTCAACTCATTAATTGACTAGGTTTCAACTCATTAGTGGTAATAAAATCAATTTAGTGAGCAACGATCACATAATAATAAATAAAGTGAATGGAGTGTGTCAGAATAAAACAATGTATTTTAAAAACCATATATATGTGTGTATATGTATATATATAAATATATCCTATATAATAACAAGCTAATATGCTAATTAGACTGAACAGCAGAATGACTGTCCAGACAAACTTCTGGACAAAGTCCCCAAGGCAGCAGAGGCGGCAAGGGCCAAGGGCCTCTAATATATATATATGGATGTTGGAGATTGTACTGTCATTTTAAGTTGACAAATACATACACATACACACATACCTGTGTACTGGTTGCTACATAAAATGTTTCTTACTAAGTAGTTTCCTGTTTATATTCAAAAAAGTTTAAAACTTACTGGTCTATAAAAATCTTTAGAGCTATGGTCAATATGTTAATATTTTAAAAATATATATGTATTATAGGTATGTATATACATATTAGTCTTAGCTAAAGCCATTTGACACATTTGAAACAGATTTTTAAAAGGTTCTTATTCTTTCTTCTACATGAAATCTATCGAATGATCACTCGTACACCTTTCTCTCCCTCATCAACTCTTCGTTGGCTCTCTGGCGTCACCTAACGAACTGAAGGAGTCAGCGTTTCATTTCTACTCAGTTCCTGGTAACTGACTGAAGCTGCCCTTACGGTCAGAGTGAGTTTAAGGTAAGTGTGAGTTTATGGTCACCAGGCTCTGCAATGTGACCAAGCTCTTTGGGATGACAACCTACATTTCAACGAGTAACCAGAGTGAAGACTGGGGAAGGCGGAAGAGTAATTTTCGATGAGGACATTAGATGCCGCGTTGGAACAAGCTGGGTTAACTCAGGTGGAGAGCCAGGCTCTATTCATGCTGGTCCTTTCCTCCCAGCCAGCCCACAAAGCCTGCGGAGCTGGGCTTTGTGCCCGACAGAACCCGTCTACAAAGATGGAATGTTAATAGGCTTGTTCACAAACACATCCAAGGAAAACTAAGATTAACTCAGTATGTTTGAAATGAATCTTGCCCCTCATAGTTTATAACCTGATAGAAAGATAAACTTTTATGAAAAGGGTGACTGACTGGTGGAGGCAGTGAATCTTCCTATCTAGAGAGAACGGATGGATGAATTATTTTGATGCCATACCTCTTGTAAGAAAGAATTTCATAGTCACACTGCTAACATTATTTCATCTTAACTATTCCTTCTGATCCTCTTCTCCTGTATTATTCATTACTACGCACTTCGGCAAAGTGTAATTTCCAGCACAGAAGAGGACAGTAACTCCTATCCGTAAACACTTTGGCTTCAAGTCAGAAACTGGAAGTAGATATTCATCATTTGTTGGAATCATTTCACCTATTCATTTTGCAAAAACCTTCTGAGTGCTATATTTATATGCCAAGATTGGAAGATGAAAGAAGAATAGCCCTTGCTGTGGCTTCTAAAACATCTCTGCCACAAGCAACAGAGTGCTGTGCCAGTCTGACCCTGAAGGTCATTCCGTCCAGGGGAAAATACATTTCTAATTTAAATCAACCTCATCTTGACTCAATGAATGAATGAACCGCCATCCAACTCAGGATAAAACCTGAATCCATGTGAACACAAGGGCTAGCTAGCATAAGGGGTTTCCTGCCTGATTTTTCACTGCTGGCCTGGCCCCCAGAGTAGCGACCGCCAAGACATTTAAAGTTGGACTTACCGGTTCCTCCATGGGAGGCTCCTCCACATTTAGAGGGATTTTTGACTCAACATCCTCCCACCCGGGAAGGTGGTTAGAAGCTGAGGTGTCAGTCACAATACCGCCATTTTGTATCTTGATGCCATTCACTCCCTTGCAGGTAGAATGAACGTGGTGGAAAAAAAGGCTCTTCTGTGGCATAGGCAGAAACCAGGCCACGGCAAAAGCCACAGAAACACAGGTCAGAGAGATGACATTCAGGCTGAACAGGGACCAGCCTGCCACTGAGACGAGGATCTGCCCTAGGACTGAGCCCACTGTGAAGCCCACCAAGGTGGCAGTTCGACTGTAACTTGTGACTTTCTGGTACCTGCTCAGGTCCACCACACTGTAGATGTAAGAGTAATAGGCGATCTCAGTGGCTGTGGCGATGCCGTAGAAGAATTCCAAGAACTGAATGGCCAGCAGTCCCTGGGCGTAGAGCAGCATGAACCACGTGACGATAAGGCTGAGCCCTTGCAGCAGGATAACGGGTTTGTAACGGAGGTAGTCTGTGGCCAGGAACACAGGAAACAGCAGCACCAGGTAAGAGTAAGTCCATACTGGATAAATCTCATTGAAGACCTGACAGGCAAAGAAGGATAAAAACGTATTAGTGATATCAAAGGGCCTGGGATATTCATAACAGTTTATTCTTATAAAACAACCTACTACTACCTCAAATACCTCATCCTTACCAACCAAGAAATCATGACAACAGTTCTCAATATTGTTTGGAATATATTTCCCTGTTTCCACTCCATCTTTTTCTTAAAATCCTGCCCATTCATCAAAGCCTAGTTCTTAGGCTTCCCCGCCCTGGGAGACTGCTGGCGCTGACAATCTCTGTGCCACACCACTCAAAGCTCTCTGGACACCGCTTTGTACGTGTCATCTCCCAGTTCCTCACGCCACTGGTTCTCAGCCGTGGCTGCACCGTTCCTGAGGAGCCTTAAGAATTCTGGATGCCCAGCCATCGGCATTTTTTAAAAACCTCCCAGGAGATTTTAACATGAGTCAGATCTGAGAACCATTGCCTTATAGTTCTTTAAGGGTGGACTCATCTGCACAAAATGTCCTACTGTTTAGGACATACCAGGCTCAATAAATGTCTTCAAAACAAATAAATGCCTTGGAATTACCGCCAATTCCTTCTTCGGGGCACAGGACAGGAAGCCTTGATTCCACTGCTTGATTAGGACTGATGTGAATCCTCTAATTTTAATTAAGTTTCATTTCTTTGGGAGCCCAGGAATAAAAGGGTTAATCTGTTTACAATCTTTTAAATATATATGATTTCAGAGAGGAAGGAAGAGGGATAGAGAGATTGGAACATCAATGATGAGAGAAAATCACTGATCTGCTGCCTCCAGCACGCCCCCTACTGGGGATCAACTTCCTGAGCATGTGACTTCCTGGTTCATAGGTCTATGCTCAATACTGGGCCACAATGACTGGGCTGTTTACAATCTTGATAGAGTATCTGTGGGTGGTAGAATTATGAGCAATTTTGATGTCCTTTTTGCTTGAAAAAGTATTAGTGCTGATTATTTATTTTCAATGTATTTTTAAAATTGAGATATAATAGAAACAATCTTTAAAATAAGCATTAAACCATTAAGACTCCCAACTAGAATTTCAATTTCATCATTTGCTGTGTGATCCTAGGCAAGTTCTTTTAGTTCCCATTAGACTTAATCTCCATTACTAGTAAAAGAAGGATAAGACCTACACCATGGGATTATTGTTGCAAGGATTAAATGAGAGAATATGTGTAAGTCACTTACTCCACTTTATTCATAGGTCTGAAGACTTGAGGACTAACATGAACATGCAGACCACTTGGAACAATATGAATTAGCTAAATTAACTGAACTATCATCCCATTCTTCCAATAACAATCATCATAGGAGACTTTTCCTTCCTCTTATATGTGCCTTGTTGTCTAGCAAGATCTAGACCAGTCAGTTTTTAAAGATCATTTCAAATTTTGCATCAGTGGCCCCAATTTTTTTTAATCTATTTTTTGTTAATCCTGACTCAAGGATATTTTTCCCATTGATTTTTAGAGAGTGGAAGGGAGGGAGAGAGACAGAGAGAGAAACATTGATGTGAGAGAAACACATCACTTGGTTGCCTCTCTGACCAGGGACAGGGCCTGCAACTGAGGTACATGCCCTTGACAGCAATCTAACCTGGGACCCTTCAGTCCTTGGGCCGATGATCTATCCACTGAACAAACTGGCTAGAACAATGGCCCCAGTTTTTAAGTGCTATCTAAAAGGTCGTCTTGTTAACAGGCTAAATACTTTGCAATGGTGCACTATAATCCTAGACTTTGACAATCTAAGTTTAAGGATGACTTCCTTTTAAACTCTTATGTATACTTCGGTTTACCCAAGTATAAAATAGGCTGTTTTAAGATTTTAGAGGAGCAACAGAATAAACAATTATGTGTAATCTTTTGCCAGTGCAGAGCACACTATAAAAGTAAAACATAATCTGAAATACATTCCAGACTTGATTACTCTTTCTGCCTGGCCGAATACCAAAAGTGATTTGTCTAAGAGCCTCACCTTCATGAATTTTTATCTAACTTGTGTTTGTAAGTCACTGAGCAGCCTCCACTTGATCAGGAAATGTTCTTGCACCTGAACATGTGCATGAAAGAATAATCGAGAACTGTGGAAATGATTCTGATTCAGAAGTGTAGGAATTTTAGCAAATGAGGAACAAAGTACTCTTGGCTGGCTTAACCACCGTGAAAGATGCCTCTCAGTAGAAAACCAAAGGGACCAGAGTAGCCTGAGATGAAGGCTGACTTCGCAGCTGTGCTCCACTAACAAGTTCCCACCACCTTTTCGCCTGTAGTTTTAGACACTCTCCCACAGTTTTCTTAAGTTTGAAAGTGCCTCCTGGGTTTGACTTAGCATGTTTCTTCACCTTCTCATTTCCCCAACTTGTTTTCCCCAACAAAGCACCACAAAGCTCTCAGCCATCACACCTCTCCTCTGAAATGCCCTCCGTCACTTCCTTCCATACCCCATCTTTAGTTTTCTCCCACACCCCTCTGGACTCCAACTGACTTCTTCACGTTAGTAATATGGTCTGTACTGAAACTTTATACACCTTTCAATAATAATTGTCCCCAAATGATTTCCTGCCACATTTTCATTACATAAACCTCACCCTTTTAATTAATGATTCAAAGTGTTTATACTTACAAGTCTGTTGCTATTCCTAGTATAAGACCACAATATAGATCATGAAGATGAGGAAAAGTAGCATTGCCAGACCTGCAATGCCAAGTAGAATCAGAAACAAAGGCAAGCGGGCAGAGACCACGTGGCTCCTCTTTAACTAGCTGTAAAGAGGAACCCAGACTTTTCTCTGTGAGAGAGGATCCACCTAACATGAATGTCCCTCTCACAGTATGACCTGCATTAGAATAGCAAATCTCTACTGAGGAGCCGCACACTGTGCTAATCACACCTACCTGACCCCATTTAATCCAAACAACAGCCCCAGGAGGGAAATGCTTGTCGTCCCTATTTTAAAACTGAGGAACGTGGCCTCAGAGAAAGGTTATATAAAGGGCCCCCCAAGTTATCATAGGTCGTAATTGGCAGAGGCCAAAACTGGACCTAGATATTCTGAATCCACCACACTTCAATCAGAGAACTGGTACTGATCATTTACTGTGTTCCAGAGTGACTTCTAATGCCTGCAGCAGCTTTTTTTTTTTTTTTTCCCCCCCAGAGAGAGAAAGAAGCGGGGGCTGGGGGGGGGGGGGGAGCAGACATAGATCAGTTGTCTCCTTTATGCACCCTGGCCAGAGATCAAGCCTGTAACCTAGGTATGTGCCCTGGCCAGGAATTGAACCCTTGACTTCTGGTGCATGGTGGGACATTTGACCCAACTGAGCCACACGGACCAGGGCTACAGCAGCCTTTCAGCCTGCACTGAGGCGCTTGCACAGGGCATTCATGAAGAGATAAAGAGCACATCTCCAGAGGTTAGCATTGGGTCTCCAAAAAAGGACCCCTTCTCTCTCAATGCCTCCAAGGAGAAGCTGTCACACCAAAAATACTTCTTTGATTGAGACTTTGAATCTTGAAGGGGCACTTCCTACACAAATGGACAAGTTACAGGCTCTATTGTCCAGACTCTGGACAATGTCTTCTGCCAGGTAAAACCTGCCACGTGAGCAAAAGGAATGATTTTATTTAAGGCACCTGTCACAACTCTTGGGGTCCGGACTTGTTTGTGGCTTTCCTCAGATAGAAAGTCAAGCGGAAGAGTTCAGTTTTGATTTCTAATTCAGATTTAGACTTTATCTTAGAATCAAGTTCAATTAAACTAATTAGCATTTATTTGCACAACACTGTTTTCAAGCTGCATGAAGATTACAAGAAAAAAGAATAAAATGAAGCCCGTTTTCCAAGAGCTGTGAACTGGTGTGGAATACACACACACACACACACACACACACACACACTATTGATCAGGGGATGAGAAATCCGGGGTTGCTTCTGTGAGATGGACCTTAAGGAAGAGGAAGTTGGAGGGGAACAGAAAGATATGGTATCAACAGATACACACTGGTGTACGGGAGGCTTTCTCCAAGCTGAGAGCTTCTCTTTGAGTCTAGACCAGGAGATGAGACCTGGCCATGCTGGCCTTAGGACTCACTCAGATGAGTGTGGAAGGAGCTAGGGCTCGGGGAAGAGGGCAGGGGGAAGAAGGGTGTAGGCAGTGGAAAATCAGGCTGTTCCGGGGTTCAGAGCCAAATTCTGTAAGGCTCTGAATATCATCAGGCAGCGAAGGTGGAATGTGTTTTTTTTAAGGAAATCAAAGGAAGGTAATGAATGTCTGTCAAATCACATGCTAAAAAAGATGAAAGGATTAAAAATATTTTGTAGGTAAAGAGCTCTATTTTATTAAATGTTTGTCTTTCCACTCTTGGGAAACAATCAAATTTTAACCCATTTAAAACTTATAAAGTGGTACCTAAAAGAGGTGAACATTGTTCCTGAAACATGAGAAAAAAATGTTTTGAGTCTGCCCTCCCTCCCCGCCCTCTGTCCTTGGGCATGGCTAACAGCAGCTCTGTTTAGGACGACCCAGCCCCAGCGTGGCCCTTCTCAAGTCTTCTAGGGGGAAATCCAAACTTCAGCACGATTAACATTCACTCTGCCTAAAAACCACGTCAGATTTTTATTTCACTGTCATTCGTGAAAGCATGCACTCAGTCAGAAAGAACACATTGTTCTATTTATTTCAATTATTAGATTATTTTTTTTAAAAAAATCTAGGATCCTGGAGGGCGAACAGAGCCACACTGCACACAACCAACAGACTCAGCCCTAATTCCAGAGTCCTCAGAGACAAATGACATCCCTTTTTCCAGACACTGGCTTTCTCTCCAAACCCTCATCTCATTTACAACAACAGAAGGGTGCTATGGTTTGTTACACAATCAGCAAGTATTTCCAGGGCCTGCCCCCTGCTTTATGCCGATGCCCCTGAACATACTTCACTCACTCTAGAAAGCTTTCCGGTAAGACAGGGCACGCCCCACAGCATGGAACACCCCACTCCTTGGCCAGGGCACGTGACAAAACAGATTGCCTTTCAAACATCAACACGGGCAGAATGTTTCTTGGCCCTGCACTTGGTCAGGCAAGGTACACACTGATCACATGGCGGCTCACATGAAACTTTAATTGTCAGCAGCTCACCAGCAGTATCACCGCCGCTCCAGGGCCTACACCTCCCACCCTGGCTGTGCGGGTGTACGGGCTCCTTCTCTCCTATTGACTGCAGCCCTTTTCTTCTCGTAAAACCATTCTGCTCACAGGACTCGGCCCTTCCCATTTTATGACAGCACTACAATTCAAACATGGAATGTGTAACTGTAGCAGTCCCTTGTGGAGTGGAGTGGGCCCGAAGAAACAGAAGACCTGAGGTTGGGTCAAAGCCAGTGATCCCGCCTAGAGGTGAGACTAGGAGAAACTCAAATGAAACCCTCCATCCAGACTTCAGCACCCAGCCTTCAAGTCCCTGACGGGGGACCTTGGAAACGGAGGAGGGACACAATAACAGAGTGGGCTGTGAGTAATGGCAGCCTGCTCTGACCTGTGATGCAGGGATACCCAGAGGTGATGAATCAGGGCGAAGGGCCAGGTTTAGACAGGAGCATGTCACAACAACTGGGCGGAAAAGGGAGCCTGCGCTACATGGGCAAGTGCCCACCCAGCGTTCCAGAAAGCAGCACCAGGCCTCAGCTCTCAGGCTTTGTAGCCTTCAAGGGAGAGCACGCTGAACCTGCTTGCTTCTGGTGTTGCCGGGTCACCCTGAGTGCCGTTCCTTTGTCAGTTACTATAACGTCTTTCTTCTTCAAAAAACACAAGTGTTGAGACTGACCATAGGTGTGAGAGCTGGACGTCTGTAAAGCACACAGTGCACTTCTGAAGTATGGGGAAAACCAACCAGAAACAGGTTCTTGATCACGGAACTGCCGGCTCCCAATCACTCTGAACATCTCAGAGGGACAGTTTTGCAAGATCTCACCGTGCAGTTGAGCAAAACTAGCATCTATGAAGCAACCATTCAGCATGCAAGAAAAACTAATTAAGGGCCAACTCTATGATACCATCTCAGTATCTGCTTTTCTCCCAGCAGGTGTGTGTGTGTAGGGGGGTGGGGATGAGGGGCAGCATATCCATGGACACAGTCCCATCCAACTAAGAATCAAGGCAAATTGAGACGACGGGCTCTCGCTGCCCTGGACTGTCTTCATTGGAGCACATTCACCAGGTCAGCGGAAAACAAAGTAAAGATGGGACGGGAGGGGCTGGGGTGGCGGGAGGGCGGCGGATCCTTAGAGAAAAGCTGGGGTTACTCAGCATGTGGGTCCCCGCTTTCAAACACCAGATATCTACTAGACCTCCACCGTGTGCAAAGTACGGCTTGCTGTGTTCACTTTTTTTTTTCCCCCCCTGCAAACATATCACCCCCTTCCCCCGCCAGCGCTCCCCCGGCCCCAGCGGGAGCTGCGGGCCTGCAGCACCCTGGCGCCCCGGCTCCGAGCCCGGAGGGGGAGGCGCGCCCCCGAAACCAGCGGGCAAACAGCCTGATCTGCTGCGGCGCACGGCGCGGGCCGCCTTCCAACCGGGAAAAGTCACCGATCTGCCCGGAGAGGCTCCCGCCGCTGCCCTCGCCGCAGCCCGCCTCCCCCTCCGCTCCCCTCCTCCCGCCCGCGCCCGCGCCCGCGCCCGCCGCGTACCTCCCGCTCCGTCAGGTTCTTGTCGGGCCCCAGCAGGTAGGGCGTGAGGAAGGGCTCGGACGGCCGGAGGCTGGCGAAGAAGCCGTAGGCGCAGAGCAGCGCGGTGGGCAGCAGCCAGCCCTCGCGCGGGACCCGCGCCGTGCGCAGGAGCATGGTGGCCGCCGCCGCCGCCGCCCGCCGGGACACCGGGCCGGGCACATCCATCCGGAGCGCGAGGGGCGGCGACCCGGCCCCTTCCTCCTCTTCTTCGTCCTTCGCCAACTGAAGGGAGGCCCGAGCGTCGCCCCAGCGCCGCCGCCGGCACCTGTCACCCCGCGCGGCGCCTCCTGCCGGCAGGGCCCGGCCGTCCTGGGGGTCGCTCCGGCCTCCTCCGCGCCGCGCCGGGAGTTCCCAGTGCGGCCGGGCGACGCGCGGCCCGAGGCAGGCTCGCCCGAAGGCCCACCCTCAACGCCGCCGCCTCCAGGCAGGGAGCCAATCACAGGAGAGCTTTGGAGCTTGGCTTCTCTCCCATTGGCCGGTGGCGGCACGCCAGACGGCTGACGTCGACGGGCTGAAGCGTGGAGGACGGGCTCGGGGGACAGCCGGGCTGTGGTGGCGGCGCGCCGGGGCTCGCTCGCCCTCCACGCCGCCGCTCACCTGGGTGGGACGCTCCGAGTGGATCTAAACCCCGCCGAGTGGAAGGCGCCACGGTCTCTCAGGATCACCGTCCCTCCCCGGTGCCTTTTCAGACTCTCCTTCCCCCGTGCCTTCGCGGGCCAGGCCGGGCGGAGACTGCCCCCGGGGCCGGGGCTGCCTCCCCGGTGCCCCGCGGTGCTCTGCGGCCGCAGAGAGGGGAGAAGCCCAGGGGGGGAGAGGGGATTTTCCAAGAGAATGGACCGAAGAAAGTGCGGAAACCATTGTGAGAGGAACGCGCCTAAATGGGGTGCCCATGGAAGGGGCTTAGCTCTGTCTTGTCACTTTTCGCAAACAGGATGCAAAGAGAACCAACATCACTGAATGCTATAGCCTGTGTGTAAAAGGAAAGTGGGACATTCGGAATCGTTAAAGCAGTTACTAAATACTACCTATTTGTTCGGAAAAAAAAAAAAACTTGGCACAGTTCCCAAGGGCAAGCGAGACAAGAAGTCCCAGTCTTCTTTCATGCCGCTGTGAGCCTTTCTGCCTGATGCACAGCCCCGCTCCTTCCCGGTCCTGCCTCTGCAGACCCAGCCGCACCGCTCAAAGCAATTCTCTCTGTGCAGCGTTTGCAGAGTAAGACATTTTTTTTTTTTTAATCTCTATTTTGCTTTAATGTATGCTACGGCTCATCTACCTCAATTTTTCCTCTTGTAAGCAAATGACGCTTTTTGTCAAAAGGATACTTTTTGCAAACAGCTGCACACACACACACACACACACACACACACACACAGTCTCCTAGATGGAACAATACTAGTAAAAGGGAAGAAAGCTGCACAAGTGAATGCGCCAAAATATATGACATAATTAATCTCCGAAGAAACCCAATTTGGTATTTACATCTATCAAAGAGTCTCCAAGTGTGCTGCAGGAAGCCCTAGGAAGTCCTTCAGATCTTTTCAGAGTTCCTCTAGGTCAAGCTACTTTCATAATAGTTGGAAGACTTTCCTTTTTTCCTCTAGAGACCACATGATGTGTGATGAAATCAGCACTCTAAAGGCTAAGAGAATGTGTGCTTGTATATTTTTGTGTTTAATTGGCTTGGGTCAATTTCTGGGTTCTCTGTTCTGCCCCCATCGATCTATAAGCTGTAATACATTTACACAATGGAATACTATATGGCTGTAAAAAAAGAAGGAACTCTTACTATTTGCAACAGCATGGAGGGACCTGGAGAGTATCATGCAAAGTGAAATAAGCCAGTCAGAGAAAGATAGGTATCTCATGATCTCACTCATATGTGGAATCTAATGAATAGAGTAAACAGATAAACAAAATAGATCCAGAGACATAGAAGCATGAACAGATTGTGGAATCTCAGAGGAAAGGCGGGGGAGGGAGTGGGTGGGAGGAGATCAACCACAGAATTTGAATGCACATATGCCTTACCTATGGATATAGACAATAAGGTGGTCAAGGCCTAGGGTGGTTGGTGGTGGAGGTGAGTTAGAAGAGGTCAATGGGGTTGGGGAGGAGACAAACATAATGCTTTCAATAATAAAGATGAAAAAATAACACATTTCCAGACTTGCCCAGCCAGTGTGGCTCAGTGGTTGAGTATCAACCCATGAACCAGGAGGTCAGGGTTCAATTCCTGGTCAGGTACATGCCTGGGCTGCAGGCCCAATCCCCAGTGAGTTATGTGCAGAAGGCAGCTGATCAATGAGCCTCTCTCATCATTGATGAGTCTATCTCTCCCTCTCCCATCCTCTCTCTGAAATCAATAAAAATGTATTTTAAAAAACATCCCAGACTTAATTTCTAATATGGCATTTATCAATAGATATAACCTACAAAAATAAAAATTTTAGGGTCCTCAAAAATAGGAGTCTTAAGACTAAAAGGTGAGAACTTCTTATGTACATAATACAATCATGTAGTCCCCTCATCATGACTTCAGAGCGAACACCAGTGGTCCTCTGGGCTGGTGCTTTGCATTAACATTCAGTGCTTCAATAGAAGGAAGAAAGGAAAACCAGGAGAGGCCTCAGAAAGAGAAGGCCACTCTGACTCTTGCCTGAGGCCTACAACCCTGAATTGTGCTAACCTGTAAATCACTGGTTCTGAACCTTTTCCTTGGTATAAATCACAGACACCTCATATCTTTGCAATTTTAGGCATCTATACTAATACAAGGGTAATATGCAAATTGGTCAGGATGCCCCCACAGTAATGACCAAACAGCAGGCTGCGTGGGGTGACCAGGTCAGCAGTGGGCACAGTGAGGGGAGACCAGGCCAGCAGAGGGGGGCAGTGAGTGGCAACCACACTGGTGAGAAAGCAGTTGGGGGTGATCAGGCCATGGGGGGAGGGGGCAGTCTGGGGCAACCAGGCCATCAGGGGAGGGTAAGTAGGGGCGACCAGGCCAGCACAGGCAGGGAAGGGGCAGTTTGGGGCAACCAGGCTGGCAGGTGGGCCAGTTAGGGGTGATCAGGCAAGTAGGCAGGTGAGCAGTTAGGAGCCAGTGGTCCCAGATTGTGAGAGGGATGTCCACAGGGATCGGGCCTAGACCAGCAGTTGGACATCCCCTGAGGGGTCCCAGATTGGAGAGGGTGCAGGCTGGGCTGAATGGACCTGCCCTATGCACAAATTTCATGCACCTGGCCTCCAGTTAACAAATAATTGTTCTTGAATTGGGTACAAACTGTTTCTTACTATTTTTATCCAAGAGGTCAAGGTAGGCAGAATTCTAAGATTGACCCTTGCCCTTGTAAAATTCCTTCCCCGTTGAATGTGGGGTAGAATCCAATTTAATGAGCTAATACAACTGTGATTGTTACATTAAATGGCAAACGTGAGAATATCCACATGGGCCCCATCTAATCACACCAGCCATTTCCTTCTAAAAGCAATGCCTTTTCCTCTGGCAGCAGAAGCGGAAGTTAGAGATGTTTGAAGAATGAGAGACTTGGTGTACTGGTGCTGGAGGAGGCTACCTGCCAATGATGGGGTACCCTTTAGCAGTTGAGATTAACTTTGGCTGATAGGCAGCAAAGAATCGGGGATTTCAGTCCTACAGTCACAAGGACCTGAATTCTCCTAACAACCCTAAGGAGTTTGGAAGTAGATTCTTTCTCAGAGTTCCGGAGAAGAGCCCAGCTTGGCCCACACCTTCATTTCTTCTTGTGAAACTCTAGCGGAGCTACCCAAGCCCACTTGGAATTTTCTGATCTACAGAACTGTGAGCTAAGTTATAATTTTTATGCCATTAAATTTGTGGTAACTTATGCAGCAAGAGGGAACTAGCACAGAGCTAAATAGACTATACAGGGTGTCTCCCCAAAATATATTATACACTTTAACAGCTGATAACTCAATTTTGAAAATAAAATGTGTTTTAATAAACACTGCCTTTCTAATTACTCAAAGGGTGTGTATACATTTTCTTGGGTCACTGTATATTTTACAAATTGAGGTAATACTCATATGATGAGATTATCCATTAAACTTATTTAAGTGTACAACTCCGTGGCATTAGTACATTCACGATGTTGTGCGACCATCACCACTGTCTAGTTCTAAGACATTTCACCACCCCAAAAGGAAATTTGTATCCGTTATGCAATCACTCTCTATCCTCCCCTTCCCATGGCTCCTGGCAAACACTAATGTGCTCTCTGTTTCTATGGCTTTATCTATGTTGGATAATTCATACAAATGGAATCATACAATGTGAGACCTTTTGTGTCTGGCTTTGAATTAGCATAACATTTTCAAAGTTCATGGACACTGTAGTATGAATCAGTACTTTATTCCAATTAATGTCTGAAAAATATCCCATTTTATCTATATATCACATTGTTTATTCTTTTACTAGTTGATGGACATTTCGGTTATTTCTACTTTTGGGTTATTATGAATAGTGCTGCTATGAATATTTCTGTGCATGTATGTCTTTGAATACCTGTTTTCAATACTTTGGGGTATATAAGAGTGGAATTATTAGCTCATTTTATAATTCTGTGTTTAACTATTTGAGGAACTGCCAAATTGTTTTCCACAGACCCTGTACCTTTTAACATTCCCGCCAGCAATGTATGAGGGTTCCAGTTTCTCCACATCCTTGCCAAAACTTGTTATTTTTCTTTTTAAAAAAACAAAATCCATTCCAGGGAGTGTAAAGTGGTTTTGATTTGCATCTACCTAATGATCAATGAGGCTGAATATCTTTTCCTGTACTTATTAACCATTTGCATGTTTTCTTTGAAAAAATGTCTACTCAAGTTTTTTGCCAAGTTTTTAATAGGATTGCTCGTCTTTGTGATGCAGAGTTGTAAGAGTTCTTTATATGCATATTCTGGAAGATAACATGCTCCCGGCCTGGGTGCTCTGGGCCAGGCTGCTGCCACTCTGGGCCTGGCTGCTGCTGCTCCAGGCCTGGCTGCTGCTGCTCCAGGCCTGGCTGCTGCTGCTCCGGGCCTGGCTGCTCCCTACCTGGCTGCTCCGGGCCCACTTTGTAGGGGTAAATACAATGTCAACAGTAATTTTTCTCTCTCTGTGAAAGCGTGTGGGGATGGGTGTTTTGCAAAAAAGTAGAATTACAGTTCTAGCCGGTTTTGCTCAGTGGATAGTGTTGATCTGCAGACTGAAGGGTCCTGGGTTCTATTCTGTTCAAGAGCGTACCTCAGTTGCAGGCTCGATCCCTGGCTCTAGTCAGGGCTCATGTGAAAGGCAACCAATTGATGTGTTTCTCTTACATCGATGTTTCTTTCTCTCTGTCTCTCCTCCTCCCTTCT